TCCCTGGGCTGGCTCCCTCTGGCAAGCTTTCCTCCACTCTTCCCAGGTTTCCCATGAACAGCATGCTTGTAGCACCATGGCCGCTCACACCCCCTGTGCAGATGGCATTGGATCGTCTCTCTCCTTGCCTATGTTCTTCTCTGGAGCACAAGCTCTAAGAGTGGGAATATCATTGTGTCCTCAGCACCTAACTAGGTCTTTTGGACAAAGGAAATACAGAAAACAGTTGACAAAATAACTGAATTAAGAATCTTCAACTCAGATTTCTGTGTTAGGATCTAAACACTGTCTGTGCAGCCATTTGGACCTCAGTGTGAAGTGGTGTTAAAAGGTGAAGTCCATTCTTCAGGAAGTAAACCTCTGCCAGGCGGATCATGCTCAGACATTCGATTGAAGTTTGTCCAACAGTTTCTTGCCTTGGAAGGTGTCCCTCTTGGTGGAACACAGTAAGGGTCAAAGATGGACAAATAGTCAATCCCCTGTTTGTACATGTATAGGAGAAGATCCCAAATTAATATTTGGAGGACAATTTTGTTGTAACAGGCACTGTTGAGGCTCAGTTGTACAGAACTGGAAAAGCCTTTAGATGTGCATGTGTCTAGATTCAGCCTTTGTTTAACATATATTTCAATCCTGATCCTGCCTTCACCAGCTGCAAAGAGTAGCTGACATGTGACCACAACACAGGAGCTGCTGAAGAGGGAGGATTATCACCTCAAACTCACAGCCACCTGGCATTTTCAAAAGCCAGCTGAGAGAGAGAGTTACAGAGAGCTGTGGAGAGAACATGCAGTCCATCCAGGCATCTCAGTGAGCTAAATTTCTCAATCAGTCACCCCGTGGTTTCTGGATGTCACACTTCCTGCCCATACCAAATGGAGCACCTCAAAAGGAGCAGAGCCTAAGAAATGGGATTTAGTATTTACTGTAAAATTGGGTTTTTGAGACTCCCCATATTCCACAGATTCATCTCCAAAGGCCTCAGCTTTCTCTTTTAATACAAGGCAGAGAGGCACAGACCACAGCTTAAATAATTTATTAGCTGCTGATTTTCCTCAAGTTTGAGTAAGACCCTTCTTTTAACAGACAAAATGTGGGTGAGATGGCAACGTAATTCACAAAAAACTGGTGCCTCTTCTTTTTTGAGGTGGTGATGGGCTTGTGGAACTCAGCTGGTCATACTTGCCTTATAAGTGGACTGGAAGGTGTATGTGGGGTCGTCTTTATCCTCTGGGGTGTATCCTCACCAAATTGAACCGTCTTCCATCTAACTGGGAAACTGTAGACTCATTATAGAAGCCATCTGCTTCCACCAGATGGCTATGCCTTCTTCACAGGCAGCCACAATCAATGTTGAGCTGCAAGTTGAGGCCTGGGCCAAGCACACGGCTACAGCTTTGAATAATACGCACCATGCCCTTACCCTCCTGAGGACATTGCTCAGATTAGGCAGGTGGCCTTACCAAACCGAATGGCAAAGCCATTTTAACAGCAGCTTAAGGGGGAACTTGTGCTTCGATCAAAATGAAATGTTGCAGCACATTCCAGACCACTCACATATTACCCAGGCTAAGAAAGCTTTAGACACTCGTATCTCTGCAACTGACGCACTGTCAGCCAACTCCATATCGGCTTGGTCCCAACAACTGCTCAGTCTTTGGAAAGCCTTTAGTTTACCTGGGATAATTTTACTTTTCTTTGATGTTGTCGAGTATATTATGATTGTACTCTTTGTGGAGGAACACAAGATAAGCTTACTCGATACTTTCTTAAATTGGATCCTTATTAATCCTCCAGGTTTCACTTTTTGCTGGAACTCAGAGCTGTAAACGATGCTTAACGTACCAATGCTTTCTGACTGAGCTCCTCTCTACCCTGAATACAAGAGACCCTAATAGTTAGGTGGAAATGTCATCACCCCTGTTCAGCATGAAGTTACAGAAGATGGACCTTCATCCTTCTGCAACCCCTAGGATTAAGGGTCCTCTTGTAAAAGAGAGAGGGGGGGAATATGTAAGAAACATTCAAACCAGAGCAACTCCATTTTGAACAAGGGCTAAAAAAAATGAAGCTAGGTCCTGTTGGGCTGCATTTCCCAGGTGGTTAAGCATTCCTAGCCTCAAGATATTTACAATTGAGGGGACAGATTAATAATGTCTCCTAAACACACTCAGGACTTAACAGACCCAGGAATGTCTTGATACTTTGAGAACAAAAGCACTTCTAGTTTTAAATATGCATTGTACCTAGGATGGATGCTTTTGTACTTTTGGAAATGGCCTACCCTGTCTATGAAGTCACTATTCATTCACTCCTTTAATAAAGTTGCTTCTGTTTTGCACTGTGGACTTGCTCCAAATTCTTCCTTGCATGACTTCCAAGAACCCTCTCGGTGTCTGGATTCAGACCCCTTTCTGGTAACAGGTGGATCTACCATTCTGGGGTCTGGAGGATGGTAGCCCTCTTCTCACAGCTCCACTAGGCAGTGCCCCAGTGGGGACTTTATATGGAGACTTTAATCCCACATCTCCCCACCACACCATCCTAGTTAGAGGTTCTCTGGATTTTGTATAAATTTTCTGAAATCTGGGCAGAGGTTCCTAAGCCTCACTATGCACCTGCAGGCTTAACACCATGTGGAAGTTGCCAAGGCTTACAGTTTGCACCCTTGGAAGCAGCAGCCCAAGTTTCACCTTGATCACTGTTAGCTGTGGCTGGAGCTGGAGTGGCCAAAGTGCAGGGCATCATGTCTTGAGGCTGCACAGAGCAGCAGAGCCCTAAGCCTGGCCCATAAAACCATTCAGTCTTCCTAGGCCTCCAGGCCTATGATCAGAGGGACTGTCACGGAGGTCTCTGAAATGCTTCTGAGGCTGTTTTTTCATTGTCTTGTCGATTAGCAATTGACTCCTCTTTCCCTTCGGCAAATTTCTGCAACCTGCTTGTAATACCTCCCCATGAAAATGGATTTTTCTTATCTACTGCATGGCCAGACTGCAAATTTTCCAAATGTTTAAGCTCAGCTTCTCTTTTAAACGTAAGTTCCAGTTTCAGGTCATTTCTTTAACTCAGGTATATGATCACAGGCTTTTAGAAGCATCTAGGTAAAATCTTGAATGCTTTGGCTGCTTAGAAATTTCTTCTACAAGATACCCTAAGTCACCTCTCTCAAGTTCAATGTTCCACCGATTCTTCGAGCAGGAGCACAATGCCACCAGTCTCTTTGCTGAAGCAGACGAGAGTGACCTTTACTCCAGTTCCCAATAAGGATTTTATCTCCATATGAAACCTACTCAGCCTGGACTTCATTGTCCATATCACTATCTACCTGCATTTTGGTCACAACTATTTAACAAGTCTCTAGGATGTTCCATTTTTTTTTCCTAATCTTCCTGTCTCCTGAGCCTTCCAAACCCTTACAGCCTCAGATTATTACCAATTCCAAAGCTGCTTCCATATTTTAAGGTATCTTTAAAACAGTGTCTCACTCCCAGTACCATTTTTTTGTACTAGTTCATTCTTGCATTGTTACAAAGAAATGCCTGAGACTGGTTAATTTCCAAAGAAAAGTTTAATTGGCTCATGGTTCCATAGGTTGTACAGGAAGCAAGGCAGCATCTGCTCAGCTTCAATTATGGTGGAAGGTGAAGGGGAAACTGGCACTTCACATGGCTGGAGCAAGAGGGGTGGGGGGCAGGCACTACACACTTTTAAACATGATCTCATGATAACTTGCTATTGCCATGAAAACACCAAGGGGGATGGTGTTAAGCCACGAGAAACTGCCCCCATGACCCAGTCACCTCCCACGAGGCACCATCTTCAACACTGGGGATTACAGTTGAACCTGAGATTTGGGTAGGGACAGAGATCCAAACCATATGACTCTGAGCATTAAATATATGCAGAAAAAAGCATTTGACATATTCAACATCTACTAGTGATGAAAACTCTCAGCAAATTAGGTATATAAAGAATGTGCAACTACACAATAAAAGCCACATATGACAGAGCCACAGCTAGCATCATAATCAACAGGATCCAGAACAAGACAAGGATGCCCTGTCACCACTTCTATTCAGCTTAGGCAACAGAAACAAAAAGCATCCAAATTGGAAAGAAAAACGTTGAGTTGTCCATTTGCAGATGACATGATTTTTTTTTTCACACCCACCTCAAGTAATGTTACTGAATTGTTCATGAGCAACACCACCAAGGTGCTGACAGTCACTCTGTATCCTCCTAATTCTTTCAGAGCATCTACGCAGGAGTGTCCAAAGTGACTGCCCTTTTACTCTGAGGCAGGGAGGTGGAGGCTGCAGTAAGCCATGATCATGCCACTGCACTCCAGTCTGGGTGACAGAAACTGGTCTCAAGAATTGCAGAAAAGAGTACACCTTGTGGAAGAAGGTATGTGTTGTAGGTTTACTTTTTTTATTTTTATTTTGCTTGAAATTCTGGGATGCATATGTAGAATGTGCAGGTTTCTTACATAGGGGTAAATGTGTCACAGTGGTTTGCTGCACCTATCAACCCCTCATCTAGGTTTTTAGCCCTGCATGCATTAGGTATTTATTCTACTGATCTCCCTCATCTCACCCCTCATACCCCAGGGATTAGTTTTTTGCTAAGGAAATATCTTAGTTTTTCAGAAAGGTGGCACTTTTTAACCTGTATTTGGTGGAGAATTTCTCTGGAGCTTCCTAAGAGAAATGAGGTTTTAGGCAGTTTGGTATAAAAAACAGTAAGACGTTGGTACAGAGTTATGACCGTCTTCCCGTAGTCTCTGCGGGAAGTGGTGTCCCTTACATGAAAGGGTGTTGTGCATCAGGTTTGGGAGGTATGGAGGAGAGAGTCTACGGGCAGTGATTGTGAGTGTCTTTGAGAGTTTTTGTGCATGTCCAAAGCACCACACAAGGATTAATGGTTTAAAATAAAATGTAGTGCATCACCCCCCTGTCTACATGTGCCAGCCCCGTGTTTTTATCACCCTAGTCTGCGTGATGGATTCCTTCAGTGCACCCAACGTGCTGACGATTACTCTGTTTCCTAGAGCGCGACAAAGGCTTGTTGTTTGAGCGTGTGCTCAAGATACCACCTGAGAGGTTATTAGACTCGGTTGAGGTAAACTCTTTGTTGTTTGTCTGAGGTGGGAATTTTATTTCTCTTCATTTCTATATAAATTGAGGTAAGAGACGGTAATCTTACCATGTACATTATAGATGACTTACAGAATGTCTTGGTGGGCATCTGTAAAGTGAGAGTTTATTACCAGCAAGAATGAATTCAAGATGACATTTATAGATGACAGGTTCACTTAAAAACTCTTCGGCAGTAAGCATTTTCCATAGAGAAATGCTTTCTTCTTGAAAATAGTGGTGAACTTGCAATGAAGATAAACTTGAAAATCATTCACAAAAAAAACTTGTGCCTTTCCACATGTCCTCTAGGCTTTATTTTGGGGCCCTCGTGTTGACTATTTTCCTACTATTCCCATTGGGTTTTCTAATGTCAACAATGCAGAAAGACCTGTACACAGGACACAGTATGGTCTGACTCTCATCATGTTTTCTTTTCTCTAATTGCAGAAAAGAGTACGTTGAGGAAGAAGGTATGTGTTAATAGGTTTACTTTCTAATTGTTTCTATTTTGCTTGTATTCTGGGATGCATGTGTAGAAACGTGTAAGTTTCTTACATAGAAGTGTTAAATTAAATATGTCACAGTGGTTTGCTGCACCTATCAAGCCCTCATCTAGGTTTTTAGCCCCGCATGCATTAGGTATTTATTCTAATGCTCTCCCTCGTCTTTCCCCTCATGCCCCAGGGATTAGTTTTTTGCTAAGGAAATATCTTAGTTTTTCAGAAAGGTGGCACTTTTTATGCTGCGTTTGGTGGAGAATTTCTCTGGAGCTTCCTAAGAGAAATGAGGTTTTAGGCAGTTTGGTATGAAAAAACAGTAAGACTTTGTGACAGAATTGTGACCATCTTCCTGTAGTCTCTGCAGGAAGTGGTGTCCCTTATGTGAAAGGGTGGTGTGCATCAGGTTTGGGAGGTATGGAGGAGAGAGTCTATGGGCAGTGATTGTGAGTGTCTTTTGGAGTTTTTGTGCATGTTCAAAGCAACACACAAGGATTATATGTTTTTTTTTAAAAAAAAAAAAAAAAAAAAGGAGTAGTCCATCACCCTGAACACTTTACATAAATCAACCCATTGATTCTCCACCACAGCTGTCTGAAGTTTAATATCCTCAGTCCTAAGTTACTGGTTATGCAGAGATGAATTTCTCAAAGTCTTGGCTTTCTCAGTAGAGGAGGGAAATGTGAAATCAGGAGTGGTTGGCAGGTTGATTCTATGGACTTCTGTCCTGCATTGATCTCACAGCCGTTGTATAACTCATCAGCCTGGCAGTGACTTTGGGCACCTAGGTGTGCATGTGGAAGTACAATACATACAGAAATTCTATGCACTGTCTATCATCATAGAATGGTCTTAATGGTCGCATAACCCAGGATTAGAATGGGTATGTTTTACAGTGGATTTGGGTGTGGTCAGAAATGTGAAACATACATGGAGAGGTCACAGGCTTTTGCTTCAGTGATCGGTTTATTCCTCAGCTCCTGTTTAAAAGCAGAGAATAGGCAGGATGTGGTGTCTCATGCCTGTAATCCCAATACATTGGGAGGCCGAGGCAGGTGAATCACTTGAGGTCAGGAGTTTGAGACCAGCCTGGCTAACACTGTCTCTACTGAAAACACAAAAATTAACTGGGTGTGGTAGCAGGTGCCAGTGATCCCAGCTACCCAGGAGGCTGAGGCAGGAGAATCACTTGAACCTGGGAGACGGAGGTTGCAGTGAGCCTAGATCCTGCCACTGCACTCTAGCCTGGGCAACAGAGTGAGATTTCATCTAAAAAAAAAAAAAAAAAAAAAAGCAGACAACAATCAGGGACATATTCTACTATGTTTAATAACATGATTGCCACAAGTGTACATGTGCCCTAATTCAGCCCACACATCCAATACACAGTGCAGAAGAAGAACTCAAGGAAGAACTGGGGTGTTCTTCTGGTGTCCATCACCTCGGTGGGACTTCCTGCACAGCTAGTTTGGAGAGTCTTATCGTTAGCCCCCCACCTACTGCCCCCATGATGGGCTTTCCTAGTGCTGGAGTCAGTGTGAGCATGAGCAGCAGCTGACTCCAGGGACACATACATTGTGTTGAAAAGGAAGAGTGGAAGGACAAATAAGCTAAGTGCGGGTTCTCTTTAAATGGTAGGATAATTGAATATTTTCAAATCTTGGTTTAGTTCTCTTTGAATCAAAGGTTCAGTGAAGTCATAATTTTTTTTGACTAGAGTTAAGATTTTTTGAAGAAAGCTGACTTTTATGCAGTACGATATGTTTCAGAAGAGATGATGAACAGCAGCAGCAGCACATGTGGGTCCTTTGGGAGAAATGACCTCAAGGGGATCGAGAAGGGGGGCAATTTAGCTCAGGTCAGATTAGGAAGGAGGAGCCCTGAGATGCTACAGGGAAACACTGTGTGGTGGGCCCTGTTTGAGATGGTTTATTTCAGGTTGAAGAGGTTGCCTTAGCTACAGGACCAAGGCTCTGTCTTCTGTGGCCTTCCTGATGCCTTCCTTCACCATCTGCCTTCCCTCTCCACCATGGAGGATGGACCGGCAGCAGCTGAGTCTGTGCTGTGAACACACCTTTCACACATGCCAGCCCCAGGTCCACAGCTCCAAGACCACCTGAGGGATTCACTCAGTGGAGCTCATGTGCTTATAGTGACTCTGTTTCCCAGGTATCCTGGAAGATCTGGAGGAGGATGTGCCAGGGCAGACATCCTTGGAGGAAGCCACAAGGGTTCACATGGTAAAGCCGTCTTACTTCCTCTAAAATGGAAAATGTATTTCTCTCAGTTTCTCTGTGTTTCAACTGAATTAAGATGTATAAGTCTTACAGGCCAGTCGCGGTGGCTCACGCCTATAATCCCAACACTTTGGGAAGCCGAGGTGGGCATCACGAAGTCAGGAGATTGAGACCATCCAGGATAACACAGTGAAACCCCGTCTCTACTAAAAATACAAAAAAAATTACCTGGGCGTGGTGGAGGGCGCCTGTAGTCCCAGCTACTCGGGAGGCTGAGGCAGGAGAATGGAGTGAACCCAGGAGGCGGAGCTTGCAGTGAGCCGAGATCTCACCACGGCACTCCAGCCTGGGTGACAGAGAGAGACTGCCTCTCGGGGAAAAAAAAAAAAAAGATGTATACATCTTACCACGTACACTATAAGTGACTGACAGAATTTCTTGGTGGGCAAATGTCACAGTTCGTTATCCACTTAAAAATGGTTTCAGATGGCATCCACATTTACAACTGTGTGTCAGCAGGCATTTTCCTCAAGAGAAATGCCTTCTTCTTGAGAAGTATTTGGAATTGTAAAACAAAAACAACTGAAAATCCTGCACAAAAATCTTGTGCTTTTCCACAGATTTCTTCTAGATATCAGGGCTATTGTCTCAATCACTATTTACCATCTGTTTTTTCTTTAACATCAACAAGTGAAGAAAAGGCCTGTGCACACAGGACACAGCCCGGTCTGACCCTCAGAGTGTTTTGTTTTCCTCTAGATGCCGGTGGACCCAGCCACACTGGCGAACGGTACGTATCTGGGATCATCTCTCTGTTTACGTTCAAAATGTTAGTGTTGCAAAAAAGATGACACTCTTTGCCTGCTTTTTGCTCAAGAGCCACTCCTGGACTTGAGCTTTCTGCAGAAATGATTGGGAAGGTTGACTTCAAAAACTACTAAGAGAGTCCAGTAAACAACTGCTCTTATGGTACTGTCATCCTTGGAAGCAGATGTATGTTGCTGGAGTATCTAAGGTGAGGTGGTTCACATCATCAGGAGGTTTGGGAGGACAGAGGAGAGAGTGTTAATGGAATGATTGTGTGGATGTCTTTGGGAGTGTGATGGCCCACACATTTCCCCAGAAAGAAACATACTCCCATGTTCAAAACTGCCTGGATCAATGTTCAAAGAAAATTTCCATCACCACTGCACGGTTTACATACATCAGCCTTACCATCCTCCAGCACAGCTATTACCTGAACACTACAAGATTCACTTTTGCACTTTATCTTGGGTTTTGTATTTGGAAGCAGTTTACAGGCGGACTGAAGTGCAGGACAGTGAGTGGAAAAGTTTGCAGGACTTTGAAGGGTTGTTAGTGCCCTGTGATACCACTCACCCAAGCTGTATTGCCATTTGAACTTTTCCTTACTTTAAAGCCGGTGAAATTCTCTTAACTTTTTTTAAATGGTCATGGGAGAAATACAAAAGAAAACTATTCTGGAATCCCAGCGCATTCTATGTATTTCAGATGAGTAGCCAGTATCAGCTACTTTAAGGGTTCTGGTTTAGGCTGAGCATTCATGCAGTGACTGTTGAGATCTGTTCATCATCATTTTTAGGCGATCATTTTATGTTTGATCTACGTGGTACGAGATGGGCGCTTATCAAACTTCACCATTCAGCGAACCTTGGCTCGGTGGACAATGCTGTTGGCATTTGTGAATAATCCATGATCTTAGGGAAATTCGGGAACTGATAAAGACGCCAGCATCGGCAAAATCTCGAGGATCGGCTTTTAGGTGTTGCTTCAAACTTGCTTTCCCTGCAGATCTGCTGCAGGGCTGGGCTGGAGGGTCAATTGCCACTTACGCCGCTTTTTACATGACGGGCTGTCTGCGGTGCCGAGTCGGTGTGACATGAGAAGAGGAGCTTGGTGTCCGTGATTTTCCACCGCCGTGTTGAAGGAAGAGTAGAAGGACAAGCATTTCAGCCACCCTTCACTAATGAAAGTTTTAGCTGTGGAAGATCAAGAGCAGAATGTTTAAAAGATTTCACTAAACAGAAAGTAATGCAAACTTTGACTAGAATTAAATCTCCGTTTACAAGAAAGGTTGCTTCTTATACACAAAATATTCTAGAAGGATGATACAGAGCAGCAGCATGTGGATTTCGGGAGAAAATGACTTTGTGGGGATCAATAGGCAAGGATTGCTCGGGTGTGATTAGGAAGGAGGAGCCCTAAGAGACTGCAGGGAAACACAGCCTGCACTGCGTGGTGTTGCCTGATGCCGAGGACTGTATTTCATGTTTACGAGGTGGCCCTGTAGGTGAAACCCAAGGCCTGATTCCCTAAACTTCCCACACGTCTCTCTGGCGTGCCTGCTACCCTCCCCCAACACCCATCTCAAGCAATGTTACTGAATTGTTCATGAGCAACACCACCATGGTGCTGACGGTCACTCGCCACCCTAGCTGTGACTGACTGATACACTATAGGAGCTGTCAGTGACGGGGAGAGGAGGACCCAGAGGATGTGAGGTCAGGCCTGTAGTTTCTCTGTGGCTTATTGCTTTTTCTTAGTTTTTGTATTTTGGATTGGGGAGAATTAAGATACCAGAATTTTACAACATATATCTTAGACAGTGACAGAGTGTCCTTGGGGAGGAGTTTGAGAGTCTCTTCCCCACTGAGTCTGGATAAGACAGTGGGAGAAAATAGCAGCACCAGCCACACATTGTGCAGCAGTGAGCTTTACCTTTACAATTTTTGTTCTCTCTTTGGAGCAAATTACTTACTTACCAATAACGCAAAGACTTGACGGAAACACCCTTTGCTTGAGAAAAATTTCACGTCTTTAGTGTGATCGATTTGCTCTGTTCTTTTTGGAAGGTTGTCTTTGAATCTGGTTTTCATCATCTTGTTTTCTAAGCTGTCGCACTAAGCAAAGAAAAGTCCTGTGCTCACAGGACACAGCATGGTCACGATGCTCATAGCAATTTACTTTCTGTCATTACAGGAAATCGTCAGGGAATTCCATCAGAGGTGGTATTGCGGAGCCCCTCTCATGCTGATGAGTCACTAGCCCAGATGATGAGAATGTGCCACTGCCTCGCTGGCTTTCCCGTAGACGGGCAGCCGGAGCTGACGTCCTCGCATGAATGAGGACCCTAGGCTTTCTGATGGGAGAAAATGATTTTTCTAGATAAAAGGAACAGTGGCCACATTCTGCAGCCCCTAGGAGACTTAACTGCCAATCCCACAGAAGGTGGGTGGGATCTAGCTTTTGGGGCGGTCATGTCTTTGTGAATTCATGCGGTACCACGGTCAGTGTGTCCTGGGTGTGTGTGTGTTTAGGTTTCCGTACTACATATCCCCAGATTTACTAGTGTCCACATTCTCAATAAGGAATTTCCGTCACCGTTGTGGTCAATACAAGAGCACATGAAAAAAATCAGCTTGTAAGCTTCCAGTGTGTGCAGTTTATTTCTTGCACAGGACACTTTAATTAACCCTAACTAAAAGAAATCCTATCCACCCAAGGAAATTCTCACTGGGCACCAAGGAACAAAGAACTGTGTCAGGATCTCTGCTCATTTATTTTTCCTTCAAACCCTGCTATGCTGTTTCTAATAAACTCCCTCTTCCACAGGCCTTTCTGTTTCCTCCTGCACGGAGAGGTCATGGCAGCACCTCACTCTAGCCCCTTCCCTCTAGCACAAGCCTCTTCTGCAAAGCCTCAAGTGACCCTCACGACCACTGCGAGAGGGAGGGAGGGGGCTCACCTTCTATGCATTTACACCCTGGTGCAGCCTCGTGCTACAGCCAGTTCTGCTGGGAAACTGAGAGAGGAGGCTGCAGGTGGGGTTGGGGTGAAATGCCCCAATTTTCCCTCCATTGAGGCCTCCTGTTGGCCATCAAGGTCAACATGGTTCAGAATAGATAATAAAATTCATGTAGAGTTTCAGCCTTATGTCCCTCAGCCTAGTCTCATGGTTTTTCTGTGTCCTCAGCTCAGAAACAGCATGTAAAGAAGAGACAAGGAGGTTTGCCCACCAGGGTCTGAGAGAGGCAGTGGCTGCCTTCCCAGCAGGATGGGGTGCAGCTCGCCATTTTGCTAGATGGGGAAAACAAACTCCTGTGGTAGCACAGGGGGGCTCCATGATGTCCCCATTGAACCGCCTGTTGACAGGTTGGTTGTTTGCTCTGAAGGCTGAAAAAAAACAAGTGGCTTGAAGTTGGTTTCAGTGAATAAGGAATATAGCGGAGCCAAAATTTAGTTTGGAAGGTTTTTTCTTGGGTATGCATTTGGTGGAAACTTATTTTGTGTATAAATCAAGTTTATTGATTGCTCTTTAGGTGTCAATGTTATCCCCACATTTTTAAACCAATCAAGGTTTAATTGTGAATTTAGAAGGTCCTGCTAACCTCAGAAACAATCCTCATAACCCAATTCGAGGTCATCTTTAATCTTTAGAATATGGTTTTTGTGTGGCTACTCAGGGGCTTTCTGCCCGGCTATTCAGGTACCAATCAGTGTTACGTTGAGGTTCAGAATTCAGACAGCGGCTGCAGTGGGCTCTTGAGAAGAGACAGGCACAGCCTTGTGGGTCTGCAGAACATGATCTGGAGGAGAGGGAGGTAGAAGGAAGGCATGAGGAGCCGCTGAGCCATGGGAAGCCAGAAAGGGATGCAGCATCAGCAGAGTCAGTTCCCATCATGCCTGGGGCGCGAGGCGGAGCGTTCACGCCTCCTCGGAGGTTGGCAGCTCTGACTTCGTGGCTGAGCTGAACAGTGGCAGCATCTTCCTAAAACCCTGGACCAGAGGTGCTACTTTCCAAGCATTTCTTGTCTTCTCCATCTCCCTGTGTATTGACAAAGAGCTCCACTGAAATTATTGAGACAGAGAACAGGTGAGTGCCTGAAATGTTCAACAGCCCAGAGAACATGATCAGCAGAGGACGGACTGGAGGGTCGAGGTCCTAAACGATTAGTTGCCACGTTTGATCTCCCCTGTGGTGGCTGGAACAGTCAGCTTCTGGAGTCCGCGGACAGCTGGTCTTTGTGTAGCTACAATGGTCCAGAGTTCCTTTTACTGGAGGGAGGCTCAGCTCCCAGAGAGGGCAGCTGCCCAATGCTAGTCACAGGAAGTGGAGGAGGACCTCTGCTCTCAGGCAGGCTGAAGCTCAGCAAAGGGAGAGGGGCTGCTCTGGGAGTTTGGGCCAGTCACTTGGCAAACTTTCTCATTAGTGACCCATAGGAGATCAGTTTCTCTCTGTTTCTCTGGGACAGACTTTGCAGTCTCAAGTCCCAAAGTCTCGGCAATCTCCTACTCATAGGTGGAGAATCTGGCCATGGCTGGTCACCGGGAGGCAGGGACCTTGTCCTCCTCATTCTTTCCCCCTCCCAGAGCTCCAGCCTGGGCAGTCCAAAATATTATGACCCGTGATGTTCTGATGCCTGCATTCTCTATGTTTGTGAGATCTACTTCTACAAGTGTGCAAAGGCTTTCTACTCATTTCATAGTCTGTAGGTTCCCCTTACCCAGGTACACGTGGGTTGTCAGGGTCAGGAGGCGTAGGCTCCTCAAACCAGTGAGGTTTTCCCTTCTGCTTCTGCGGTTCTGCTGATGTTTTTCTCTGAAGTGTGCACTGAATGATTACAATAATACACATTGTGGCATGTTTTACGAAAAGTATGTCAGTTCAACAAAATGGATGGAAAATGCAAGAGAGCTTATATGTAGACAGGAGAGATAAATAACATTGTCAATTTCACCAGAAGGGTGTTCCCAGGCCTCAAACTGCATACAGGAAGGAAGAGACTGTCAGAGGGCGTCGGCAGTGCGTGTGTGTGCTGGGCTCTCATCTTCCATGGCTTTGACAGTGGTCTCACTGACCTTTCTTCATCACCAAGGAGGTTTGGCAGAGGTCTATTTTGCACAGATTAACCCCCTTGTCTACATGCCAGCCCCGTGTTTTTGGCACCTGAGTCTGCCTGGCCAGTTCCTTCAGTGCATCCAGTGTGCTGACAATGACTCTGTGTTTCTAATGTTGACCAAGGCTTGTTGTGCAGGAAACATCTACTAAAATACCTATCTGAGACGTTCATCAAAAAGTTCCATTCTGAAAGTAAAGTGTTTTTGTTTGTCTGAAGGTGGGAATTTTATTTCTCTTCGTTTCTATATAGAGATGGGGTAAGATGTTAATCTTACCACATGTACATTATGATGACTTACAGAATGTCTTGGTGGACATCTGTAAAGTGAAGTTGTCACAGCAAGAATGAATTCAAGATGACATTTATAGATGACAGGTTCACTTAAAAACTCTTCGGCAGTAAGCATTTCCTGGAGAAATACTTTCTTCTTGAAAATAGTGGTGAACTTGCAATGAAGATAAGCAGAAAATCATTCAAAAAAACTTGTGCCTTTCCGTCCTCTAGGCTTTATTTGGTCTCGTGTTGACTATTTTCACTATTTCCATTGGGTTTTTCTAGCGTCAACAATGCAGAAAGAATTTCTGCACACAGGACACAGTGTGGTCTGACTCTCATGTTTTCTTTTCTTTAATTGCAGAAAGAAGTACACTTGGAAGAAGAAGTTATGTGTTTTGGGGTTTGTTTTATATTCATTTTAATGTGCTTATGCAAATTCTGGGATGCATGTAGAACGTGTAGGTTTACATTACAGGTATAAATATGTCATCGTGGTTTGCTACTACTATCAAGCCCTCATCTAGGTTTTTAGCCGATGTGCAGTAGGGTCTTTATACTAATGCTCTCCCTCATCTTGCCCCACACCCCAGGGATTGTAGTTTTGCTAAGAAATATCTTAGTTTTCAGAAAGGTGGCACTTTTTGCCCTGCATTTGCTGGATAATTTCTCTGGAGCTTCAGAAATGAGGTTTTAGGCAAGTTTGGTATCATAAACGCAGTCTGAGACCAGGGCTGATCAACATGGAGAAACAGTCTCTCCTAAGAGTACCAAAATTATCCCAGGTGGTGTGCATTCCTGTAATGTCCAACTATTCAAGAGACTGAGGCAGCAGAATCATGCTTGAACCCCATGGGAGGCGGAGGTTGTGGTAGGCCGGTCGGCATGTTGCATCAGCTTTTTTGGGCAACAAGGTGAAACTCCATCAAAAGAAAAACTTCAAAAAAAAGTTCTAGGGAGGAACAAAAAGCACAGCACGTACATGTCCTGGGAGGAAATGACTCAAGGGGATACAGAAAGGGAGGACAAACAGAGATTGGAGTCAGATTAAGAAAGGAGAGGCCTGAGGTGCTGCAGGAAGCTGCCTGGTATTGCCTGTTTGGGGAGGGCCAGATTATTTCATGTGAAGAGGTTGCCTTAGCTAGCGGCCTAAAGACTCTACCTGTCTTCTGGCCTTCATTAAGAACTCACCTTCACCAGTGTGCTTCCCTCACCACGCCTGGAAGAGGGACCCGTACCTTCTGAGTCTGTGCTGCTGAACACCACGCACCACACCGTAGCCCATGTCCCAGCTCCGCCTGGGGGATTCCTCAGTGGAGCTCATGTGCTTATAGTGACTCAGCCCCTCGTGGTGAACTGGAGGAGCATTTTGGAGGATGTGTAAGCAGACATCCTCGGAGGAAGCCTGGCGACCATAGTAAAGTCATGTTGTTTACTCTGAAATGAAATTCTGAATTTCTCTCGGTTTCTCTCTGTTTCCATTGAACTAAAGGGTACATCTTACCATCTCTGCGATAGGTGACTGACAAGAGGAATTTCTTGGTGGGCAAATGTCAGGATTCATTATCACTAAAAAATGGTTTCAGATGGCATCCATTTACAAGCTGTTGTGTCAACCCAGACATTTTCCTCTAAAAGAGAAATGCCTTCTTCTTAGAAGTATTTGGAATCGTCAAATAATAAAAAACAATTGAAAAGAATATTACAAAATCTGTGCCTTTCACGAATATTATCTTCTAATATCACAGGGCCATTGTCTCTGACTTTTCATTTCCATCTCTGTTTTTATTATCAACTCAAGTGAAGAAAAAGACCTGTGCACACAGGACACAGCACAATTGACCCTCAGAGTGTTTTTGTTTTTCTCTAGATACAGGTGGACCCAGAACGCCTTGCACTGGCGGAGCGATGCTATCTGGGATCATCTCTCTGTTCGTTCAAAATGTTAGTGTTGCAAAGATGACACTGTTGTTTTGCTCCTTTTTGCTCAAGAACCACTCTGGTTTGAGCTTTCTGCCCAATCAGATTGCAGAAGGTTGACTTCAAAAACTACTAAAGAGTCAGTAAACAACTGCTCCATGGTGCTGTCATCCTTGGAAACTTGAGTATGATGTGTATGTGGGTGTAGGTGGGGTGGTTCATCATCAGGAGTTGGGAGGGACAGAGGAAGTGTGTATGGAATGATTGTGGATGTATCTTTTTGGGAGTGTGTATCACATTTCCCCAGAAAGCACTCTCCCATGTTCAAACACAACACAAGGAGGATCAGGCCCAAGAAAGGAAATTTCCATCACCACTGCGGTTGTACATCAACCCATTCATCTCAACTTTCAGCTATTACCTGAACATAAGTTCACCTCCCCAGTCCTCAGATGGACATGGTGCAGAACAATTTCCCAAGCTCTTCTTGAGTCTTTTAAATGGAAGAGGCACATGCCGAGAAGAGTGGGAGTGAGTGGAGGTTAATGCCATGAGCCACTACACTGAATTTTGTCCACTACATAAAACCCTAGTATAATTTCTTGCTAGGCCAAGTTATTCCAGCACTTGTGGCCGGTAGCAAATGGGGAGAATGAAAACTATTCAGATCCCAAACACTATCATGACCGGATGGATAATCGGTCAGCTCACCCAGGATTGGTTTGAGCAAATACCATTGTACAGTGGGCTTCAGTGTGATCATTAATGTAAAAACACACAGAGTCCTGGCGGGCTTTGATCTAGCAGTGAGGAGTCATTCCCTCAGCCTGTTCAAACGCAGACAATAATCAGTGGATGTCTATTGTATTTAGCTGAGATAATCACATAAAATTAGAAATTCAGAGGAACCCAATCCCAAGACATAGCATCCAATAAAATCTCAGGACTCCAACCTGGGTGTTAGCCTGGCACCCACTTTCCCTGCTGGAATCTCCTGCAGAGCTGGAGGCTTGGAGAGGGTCAGTGCTTAGCCTGGCACCCACTTTCCCTGCTGGAATCTCCTGCAGAGCTGGGCTGGAGAGGGTCAGTGCCCGCCCCCACCCCCTTGCTTTTCCCCATGACAGACTGTCCCAGTGCTACAGTCAGTGTGAGCATGAGGAGCAGTGCACTCCGTGGTGCACACATATCGTGTTGAAAAGGAAGAGTGGAAGGACAAATATCACATGCTAAGTAGGGGTCGTCATGAAATGGCAGGATAATTGAGTATTTTCAAATCTTGGTTGATTTGCCTTGTAACAGAAAGTAATGCAAACTTTGACTAGAATTAAATCTCCGTTTACAAGAAAGGTTGCTTCTTATACACTACAAAATATTCTAGAAGGGATGATACACAGAGCAGCAGCACATGTGGATTTCAGGAGGAAATGACTTTGGCAGGGATCAATAAGAGGCAAGTTAGCTCAGGTGTGATTAGGAAGGAGGAGCCCTAAGAGACTGCCAGGGAAACACAGCCTGCACTGCGTGGTGTGCCCTGTTTGAGACTGGATATTTCATGTTTACGAGGTGGCCTGTAGGTAGAAACCCAAAGGCCCTGATTCCCTTTCTTCCCTGCGTCTCTCCTGTGCCTGCTACCCTCCCCCAACACCCATCTCAAGCAATGTTACTGAATTGTTCATGAGCAACACCACCATGGTGCTGACGGTCACTCTGTATCCTCCTAGCTGTGACTGATACACTATAGGAGCTGTCCAGTGACGAGGGAGAGGAGGACCCAGAGGATGTGAAGGTCAGGCCACCTGGATTTCTCTGTGAAAAACTGTTGCTTTCTTAGTTTTACCTTATTTGGATTAAATTAAGATACCAGAATTTCACAACATATATCTTAGATTAGTGACAGAATGTCCTTGGGGAGAATTTTGAGAGTCTCTTCCCCACTGAGTCTTGAATTAAGACAGTGGGAGAAAATGACAGCACCAGCCACACATTGTGCAGCGGTGAGCTTTTGCCTTACCAATTTTGTTCTCTCTTTGGAGCAAAATTACTTACTTGCCAACCAACATAGACTTGACAGGAAACACCCTTTGAGAAAAATTTACGTCTTTAGTGTGAGTCGATTTGCTCTGTTCTTTGGGGTTCCTTTGAACTCTGGTTTTCATCTTGTTTTCTAATGTCACTAAGCAAAGAAAAGTCCTGTGCTCACAGGACACAGCATGGTCTGATGCTCATAGCAATTTACTTTCTGTCATTACAGAAATCGTCGGGAGTTCCATCAGAGGGTAGGTATTGCGGAGCCCCTCTCATGCTGATGAGTCACCCAGATGATGAGGAATGTGCCACTGCCTCGCTGGCTTTCCCGTAGACAGGCAGCCGGAGCTGAGCGTCCTCTCATGAATGAGGACCTAGGCTCTGATGGGAGAAATGATTTTTCTAGATAAGGAACAGTGGCCACATTCTGCAGCCCCTGGGAGCAACTGCAATCCCTGAAGGTGGGGTGGGATCCTGTGCACGGGGCCGGTCATGTCTTTTGTGAATTCATGCGGTACCACGGTCAGTGTGTCTGGGTGTGTGTGTTTGGGTTTCCGTACTACATATCCCCAGATTTACTAGTGTCCACATTCTCAACAGAGATTTCCGTCACCGTTGTGGTCCTATTACAGGCACATGAAAAAATCAGCTTGTAAGCTTCCAGTGTGTGCAGTTTATTTCTTGCACAGGACACTTTAATTAACCTAAAAGAAATCCTGTCCACACCCAGGAAATTCTCACTGGGCACCCAAGGAACAGAACTGTGTCAGGATCTCTGCTCATTTTATTTTTTCCTTCAGAATTCCCTGCTATACTTTATTTTCTAATAAACCTCACCTCTTCACAGGCCTTTCTGTTTCCTCCTGCCTTTGGAGAGGTCATGACACCTCACTCTAGCCCCTTCCCTCCTTTACAAGCCTCTTCTACCAAAGCCCTCAGAAGTGACCCTCCACGACCCATCTTGAGAGGGAGGAGGGGCTCCTTCCTGTGCATTTACACCCTGGTGCAGCCTCGTGCTACAGCCAGTTCTGCTGGGAAACTGAGAAGAGAGGAGGCTGCAGGTGGGGTTGGGGTGAAATCACCCCAATTTTCTCCATTGAGGCCTCATGTTGACCATCAGATAACATGGTTCAGAATAGATAATGCCAGGGTCATGTAGAGTTTCAGCCTTGTATCCCTCAGCCTAGTCATGGTTTCTGTGTCCTCGGCTCAGAAACAGCAACATGTAAAGAGAACCAAGGGGTTTGCCCTAGGGTCTGAGAGGCAGGGTGAGCACTTGCCTTCCTAGCAGGATGGAGGGTGGCTCATGCATTGCAGATGGGGAAAAACAAACTCTGTGGTAGCACAGAGGCTCCATGATGTCCCCATTGAACCGCCTGTTGACAAAGGTTGGTTGTTTGCTCCTGAAGGCTTTTGAAAAAAAAAAACAAGTGAACGCAGTTGGTTTCAGTGAATAGGAATATAAACGGAGCCAAATTTAGTTTGAGTTTTTTCTTGGAGTATGCATTTGGTGGAAACTTATTGTGTATAAATCAAATTTGATTGCTCTTTAGGTGTCAATATTTATCCCACATTTTAAACCAATCAGGTTGGTGTGAATTTAGAAGGTCCCTCACTAACCTCAGAAACAATCTCCTCATAACCCAATTCCCGAGTCATCTTTAATCTGTAGAATATAGTTTTTTGTGGCTACTCAGGGGGCTTTCTGCTGACTGATTCAAGGTACAAATCAGTGTTACCCACGTTGAGGTTCTAAGAATTCACAGACAGCTGCCCAGTGGGCTCTGTGAGAGAGAGAGCAGGTACAGCCTTGGCCTGGGTCTGCAGAGGAACATGATCTGGAGGAGCAGAAGGAAGGCATGAGGGCAGCAGAGCCATGGGGAAGCCGAGATGCAGCATCAGCAGAGTCAGTTCCACATCATCACCTGGGCGCGGACGGAACGTTCACGCCTCATCTGAAGGAGGAGTTGAGCTCTGACTTCGTGGCTGGCCTGAACATTGGCCATCTTCCTAAAACCCTGGACAGAGGTGCTACTTTCTTGTTTCTTGTCTTCTCCATCTCCCTGTGTATTGATGGCAAAGGCACCACCAGAAATTAGTGAGAGACAGAGAACAGGAGTGAGTGCCTGAAATGTTCAACTTAGCCCAGAGAGAACATGATCAGCAGGGACGGACTGGAGGGTCAGGTCAGACATGGAGTAGTTGCCACGTTTGATCTCCCTGTGGCTGGAACAGTCAGCTTCTGGGAGTCGCCGGACAGCTGGTCTTTGTGTAGCTGCTATTGGTCCAGAGTTCCCTTTTACTGGAGGGAGGCTCAGCTCCCAGAGAGGGCAGCTGCCCAATGCTAGTGTCACAGGAAGTGAGGAGGGGACCCTGCTCTCAGGCAGGCTGAGCTCAGCAAAGGGAGAGGGGCTGCTCTGGAGTTTAGGTGGTCCTTGTAGCTTTCTCGTGTGACCCATAGGAGATCAGTTTCTCTGTTTCTCTGGGACAGACTTGCAGTCATCAGTCCCAAAGTCTGTAGTCTCCTACTCATAGGTGGAGGAATCCTGGCCATGGCTGGTCACCGGGAGGGCAGGGACTGTGTCCTCCTCATTCTTTCTACTCCCAGAGCTCAGCCCTGGGCAGTCCATGTTGGGCCCGTGATGTTCTGATGCCTGCATTCCTGTTGTGAGATCTAGCACAAGTGTGCAAAGGCTTTCTGCTCATTTTCTATAGTCTGTGGGTTCCCACACTTACCCAGGTGCCTGCGTGGGTTGTAATCCAGGGTCAGGGGAGAAGAGCGTGGGCTCCTCAAACAGTGAGGTTTTCCCTTCTCTGCTTCTGCGGTTCTGCTCGTGTTTTCTCCTGAAGTGTGCACTGAATGATTACAATAATACATTGTGTATGTTTTACGAAAATTATGTCAGTTCAACAAAATGGATGGAAAATGCAAGAGAAGCATATGTAGACCCAGGAGAGATAAATAGCATTGTCACATTTCACCAGAAAAGTGGAAATTTCCCAGGCCTCAAACTGCATAGGAGAAGGAAGAGACACTGTCACGGCGTCGGCAGTGCGTGTGTGTGCTGCCAAGGCTCTGTCTTCCATGGCTTTCGTGATGGTCTCACTGACCTTTCTTCATCACCAAGGAGGATGTTCTGGCAAGAGGTCTGTTTTTGCAGTTAACCCCCCTTGTCTACATGTGCCAGCCCCGTGTTTTTAGCGCCTGAGTCTGCCTGACGGATTCCTTCAGTGCATCCAGTGTGCTGACAATGACTCTGTGTTTCCTCGAGCGCGACCAAGGCTTGTTGTGCGAGCATCTGCCCAAGATACCATCTGAGACGTTGTCAGGGTCATTGAAGGTAAAGTGTTTTTTGTTTGTCTGAGGTGGGAATTTTATTTCTCTTCAGCATCTGCCCAAGATACCATCTGAGACGTTGTCAGGCTGTCATTGAAGGCAAAGTGTTTTTTGTTTGTCTGAGGTGGGAATTTTCTTCGTTTCTATATAAATTGAGGTAAGAGACGGTAATCTTACCATGTACATTATAGATGACTTACAGAATGTCTTGGTGGACATCTGTAAAGTGAGAGTATTTATTACCAAACCAAGATGACATTTATAGATGACAGGTTCACTTAAAAACTCTTCGGCAGTAAGCATTTGTGAGAAATGCTTTCTTCTTGAAAATATGGGTGAACTTGCAATGAAGATAACCAAAATCATTCACAGCATAAAAAAAAACTTGTGCCTGTCCTCTAGGCTTATTTCCTTTTGGGGCCCTCGTGTTGACTATTATTATTTTCACTATTTCCATTGGGTTTTCTAACGTCAACAATGCAGAAAAGACCTGTGCACATGAGATACATGGTCTCACAGACTTCTTATCAGTGTTTTTCTTTTCTTTAATTGCAGAAAAGAGTACACTTTGAAGAAGAAGGTATGTGTTTTGGGGTTTTCATTTTTATTCATTTTAATGTGCTTGAAATTTGGGATGCACAGAACGTAGGTTTGTTGGCATAGGTATAAATATGTCATCGTGGTTTGCTGCACCTATCAAGCTCCTCATTCAGGTTTTTAGCCTGTGCAGTAGGTCTTTATACTAATGCTCTCCTCATCTTGCCCCCCCACACCCCAGGGATTAGTTTTTGCTAAGGAAATATCTTTAGTTTTTCAGAAAGGTGGCACCTCTTACCCTGCATTTGCTGGATAATTTCTCTGGAGCTTCCTAACAGAAATGATGTTTTAGGCAGTTTGAGTAAATAAGCAGTCTGAGACCAGACTGGATCAACATGGAGGAAAACCCGTCTCCTAAAATGTGAAATTATCCAGGAATGGGTGTGCATTCCTGTAATCCCAGCTGTTCAAGAGACTGAGGCAGCAGAATCACTTGAACCCAGGAGGCGGAGGTTGTGGTAGGCCGAGATCGCGCCATTGCACTCCAGCCTAGGCAACAAGAGTGAAACTCCATCGCAAAAAAGAGAAAAACAAAAAAGTTCTAGGAGGAACAAAAGCACAGCAGCAGTACATGTGGCTCCTGGGGAGGAAATGACCTCAAGGGGATAAAGAAGGGAGGACAAGTTAGGTCAGATTAAGAAGGAGGAGCCTGAGATGCTGTACAGAAACACTATGTGGTGTGCCCTGTTTGAGATGGGCTATTTCATGTCGAAGAGGTTGCCTTAGCTTGGTCTACTCAAGACTCTGTCTTCTGTGGCCTTCCTGATGCATTCTTCACTCATTTGTCTTCCCTCACCACCTGAAGCAGGGACCAGCAGCTGAGTTCGCCAGAACACACCTTTCCACACACGCAGCCCCGTGTCCAGCCCAAGACCACCTGAGGGATTCACTCAGTGGAGCTCATGCAAAGTTTATAGTGACTCTGTTTCGTAGGTGAACTGGAAGACCTGGAGGAGGATGTGCCCAAGCAGACATCCTCGAGGAAGCAGGCGTTCGTATAGTAAAGTCATGTTGTTTACTCTGAAATGGAAATTGAATTTCTCTCGTTTCTCTCTGTTTCATTGAACCAAGAGGTACACATCTTACCATCTACGCGATAGGTGATCAGACAAGAATTTCTTGTGGGCAAATGTCAGAGTTCATTATCCACTAAAAATGGTTTCAGATGGCATCCACATTTACAAGTTGTGTGTCAGCAGACATTTTCCTCAAGAGAAATGCCTCTTCTTAAGAAGTATTTGGAATCACAAATAAAAACAATTGAAAATCTTGCACAAAAATCTGTGCCTTCACAATATCTTCTAGATATCAGGGCCATTGTCTCAAACTTACTATTTTCCATCTGTTTTTTTAATATCAACAAGTGAAGAAAAGACTGCAATATTGTTAGACACAGCCTGGTCTGACCAGAGGTTTTGTGGTTTTTCTCTAGATGCAGGTGGACCCAGACACACCGGCGCAACGGTACGTGATCTGGGACTCACTTGCTTTATTTTAAAAGGTTAGGGGTGTTGCAAAGATGACACTGTTTTGCCTGCGGCTCAAGAGCCACTCTGGTTTGATGCCAGAAATCAGATTTGGGAAGGTTGACTTCAAAAACTACTAAGAGTCCAGCAAACAACTTGTAACCATGGTACTGTCATCCTTGAAGCAGAGATGTGTCGTAAGGTGGGGTGGTTCATCAGGGTTGAGGGAGCAGAGGAGAGAGTGTGTATGGAATGATTGTGGATGTCTTTGGGAGTGTGTGTACATTTCCCCAGAAAACATACTCCCATGTTCAAAGCACAACACAAGGATCAATGTTCAAGAAAATTTCCATCACCACTGCACGGTTTACATACATCAACCCATTCATCCTCCAGCACAGCTGTACCTGAACATAAGTTCACTATCCCCAGTCCTCAGATGGACATGGTGCAGAGACGAATTTCCAAGCTCTTGGTCTTTTAAATGGAAGAGGCACATGAAGTCGGAATGAGTGGAAGGTTAATGCCAAGAGCTACTACACTGAATTTTGTCAAACCCTAGTATAATTTCTGCTAGGCCAAGTTATTCCAGCACTTGGTGTGCTCGAGAATGAAAACCTATTCAGATCCTGCAAACACCATCATGACTGGATGGTGTCAGTGCTCAGCTCACCCAGGGTTGGTTTGAGCAGGTACATTGCAGGCAGTGGGCTTCAGTGTGATCATTAATGTAAAAACACACAGAGTCCACAGGCTTGGATCTACATGGCAGTGAGGGTCAGTCTCAGCTCCTGTTCAAACGCAGACAATAATCAGTGGGATATTCTATTGTATTTAATGAGATAATCACCGCAAGTCTTAGAAATTCAGAGGAACCCAATCCCAAGACATAGCATCCAATAAAATCTCAAGGATCAACCTGGGTGTTAGCCTGGCACCCACTTTCCTGCTGAATCTCCTGCAGAGCTATTGGAGAGTGGTCAGTGCCCGCCCCCACCCCCTTGCTTCTTTCCCCATGACAGACTGTCCCAGTGCTACAGTCAGTGAGCATGAGGAGCAGTGCACCTGTGGTGCACACATATCGTGTTGAAAAGGAAGGTGTGAAGGACAAATATCACATGCTAAGTAGGGGTCATCATGAAATGTTATGATAATTGAGCATTTTCTTAAATCTTGGTTGATTTGCCTTGTAACAGAAAGTAATGCAAACTTTGACTAGAATTAAATCTCCGTTTACAAGAAAGGTTGCTTCTTATACACTACAAAATATTCTAGAAGGGATGATACACAGAGCAGCAGCACATGTGGATTTCAGGAGGAAATGACTTTGGCAGGGATCAATAAGAGGCAAGTTAGCTCAGGTGTGATTAGGAAGGAGGAGCCCTAAGATCAAGCCAGGGAACACAGCCTGTGACTGCGTGGTGTGCCCTCCTGTTTGAGACTGGATATCACAGCGATGAGGTGGCCTGTAGGCAGAAACCCAAAGGCCCTGACTCCTTCCCTGGCGTGTCCTCCTGCCTGCTACCCCCAACACCCATCTCAAGCAATGTTACTGAATTGTTCATGAGCAACACCACCATGGTGCTGACGGTCACTCTGTATCCTCCTAGCTGTGACTGATACACTATAGGAGCTGTCCAGTGACGAGGGAGAGGAGGACCCAGAGGATGTGAAGGTCAGGCCACCTGGATTTCCCTTCTGTGAAAACTGCTTTCTTAGTTTTACCTTATATTTGACAAATTAAGATACCAGAATTTCACAACATATATCTTAGATTAGTGACAGAATGTCCTTGGGGAATTTTTATCTTTCCCACTGAGTCTTGAATTAAGACAGTGGAGAAAATGACAGCACTAGCCACACACACATTGTGCAGCAGTGAGTCTTTGCCTTACCAATTTTGTTCTCTTGAGCAAAATTACTTACTTTACAACCAACATAGACTTGACAGGGAAACACCCTTGAGAAAAATTTACGTCTTTAGTGTGAGTCGATTTGCTCTGTTCTTTGGGGTTCCTTTGAACTCTGGTTTTCATCTTGTTTTCTAATGTCACTACAAAGAAAAGTCCCAGCTCATGGACACAGCATGGTCTGATGCTCAGGCAATTTACTTTCTGTCATTAAGAAATCGTCGGGAGTTCCATCAGAGGGTGTATTGCGAGCCCTCTCATGCTGATGAGTCACCCAGATGATGAGGAATGTGCCACTGCCTCGCTGGCTCTGCAGACAGGCAGCCGGAGCTGAGCGTCCTCTCATGAATGAGGACCTAGGCTCTGATGGGAGAAATGATTTTTCTAGATAAGGAACAGTGGGCCAGCATTCCTGCATTCGCCCTGGGAGCAACTGCAATCCTGAAGGTGGTGGATCCTGTGCACGGGCCGGTCATGCCTTTTAGAATTCACAGTGTGTGCCACACGGTCAGTGTGTCTGGGTGTGTGTGTTTGGGTTTACTACATATCCTCTCAGGATTTACTAGGGGAATTCTCAACAGAGATTTCCGTCACCGCTAGGTCCTATTACAGGCACATGAAAAAATCAGCTTGTAAGCTTCCCAGTGTGCAGTTTATTTCTGCATGACACTTTAATTAACCTAAAGAGTCCTGTCCACACCCAGGAAATTCTCACTGGGCACCTAAGGAACAGAACTGTGTCAGGATTCTGCTCATTTTATTTTTTTCCTTCAGAATTTCTGCTATACTTTATTTTCTAATAAACCCTACCTCTTCACAGGCCTTTCTGTTTCTCCTGCTTTGGAGAGTCATGACACCTCACTCTAGCCCTTCCTCCTTTACAAGCTCCTGGCTCAAAGCCCTCAGGAAGTGACCTCCACGACCCATCTTGAGAGGGAGGAGGGCCCTTCCCTGTGCATTTACACCCTGTGCAGCCTCAGCTACAGCCAGTTCTGCTGGGAAACTGAGAAGAGAGGAGGCTGTAGGTGGGTTGGGGTGAAATACCCCAATTTTCTCCATTGAGGCCTCATATGACCATCAGATAACATGGTTCAGAATAGATAATGCCAGGGTCATGTAGAGTTTTAGCTCTGTATCCCTCAGTTTAGTCATGGTTTCTGTGTCCCTGGCCTGAAACAGCACACATGTAAAGAGAACCAAGGGGTTTGCCCTAGGGTCTGAGAGGCAGGGTGAGCACTTGCCTTCCTAGCAGGATGGAGGGTGGCTCATGCATTGCAGATGGGGAAAAACAAACTCTGTGGTAGCACAGAGGCTCCATGATGTCTCATTGAACCGCCTGTTGACAAAGGTTGGTTGTTTGCTCCTGAAGGCTTTTGAAAAAAACAAGAACAGTTGGTTTTGTAGTGAATAGGAATATAAACGGAGCCAAATTTAGTTTGAGTTTTTTCTTGGAGTATGCATTTGGTGGAAACTTATTGTGTATAAATCAAATTTGATTGGTCAATATTTATCCCACATTTTAAACCAATCAGGTTGGTGTGATTTAGAAGGTCCTCACTAACCTCAGAAAACAATCTCCTCATAACCCAATTCCCGAGTCATCTTAATCTGTGAATATAGTTTTTGTGGCTACTCAGGGGGCTTTCTGCTGACTGATTCAAGGTACAAATCAGTGTTACCCACGTTGAGGTTCTAAGAATTCACAGACAGCGAGCCCAGTGGGCTCTGTGAGAGAGAGAGCAGGTACAGCCTTGGCCTGGGTCTGCAGAGGAACATGATCTGGAGGAGCAGAAGGAAGGCATGAGGGCGGTGCAGAGCCATGGGGAAGCCGAGATGCAGCATCAGCAGAGTCAGTTCCACATCATCACCTGGGCGCGGACGGAACGCCACGCCTCACTCAAGGAGGAGTTGAGCTCTGACTTCGTGGCTGGCCTGAACATTGGCCATCTTCCTAAAACCCTGGATGAGGTGCTACATTTCTTGTTTCTTGTCTTTCTCCATCTCCCTGTGTAGATGGAAAGGCACCACCAGAAATTAGTGAGAGACAGAGAACAGGAGTGAGTGCCTGAAATGTTCAACTTAGGCCCAGAGAGAACATGGGATCAGCAGGGACGGACTGGAGGGTCAGGTCAGATATGGAGTAGTTGCTGACGTTTGATCTCCTGTGGCTGAATAGTCAGCTTGGGAGTCACTGGACATTGGTCTTTGGTGTGTAGCTGGCATGGGTCCAGAGTTCCCTTTACTGGAGGGGGAGGCCTGGTCGAGAGGCAGCTGCCCAATGCCAGTGTCACAGGAAGTGAGGGAGGGGACCCTGCTCTCAGCAGGCTGAGCTCAGCAAAGGAGAGGGGCTGCTCTGGAGTTTAGGTGGGTCCTTTGTAGCTTTCGTGTGACCCATAGGAGATCAGTTTCTCTGTTTCTCTGGGACAGACTTGCAGTCATCAGTCCCAAAGTCTGTAGTCTCCTACTCAGGTGGAGGAATCCCCGGGCTGCTGGCTGGTCACCGGGAGGGCAGTGGGACTGTGTCCCCTCCTCATTCTTTCTACTCCCAGAGCTCAGCCCTGGGCAGTCCATGTTGGGCCCGTGATGTTCTGATGCCTGCATTCCTGTTGTGAGATCTAGGCACAAGTGTGCAAAGGCTTTCTACCATTCGTCTGTGGGTTCACACTCACCCAGGTGCCTGCGTGGCTGTAATCCAGGGTCAGGGAGAAGAGCCGGGGCCTCAAACAGTGAGGCCTTCTCTGCTTCTACAGCGGTTCTGCTGTGGTTTTCTCCCTGAAGTGTACTGAATGATTACACAATAGCATTGTGTATGTTTTACTTAAAATTATGTCAGTTCAACAAAATGGATGGAAAATGCAAGAGAAGCATATGTAGACCCAGGAGAGATAAATAGCATTGTCACATTTCACCAGAAAAGTGGAAATTTCCCAGGCCTCAAACTGGCATAGGAGAAGGAAGAGACACTGTCACTAAGGCCGGCAGTGCGTGTGTGTGCTGAAGGCCTCTGCTCCTTCCATGGCTTTCGTGATGGTCCCACCTCTGACCTTCTTCATCACCAAGGAGGATGTTCTGGCAGGAGGTCCGTTTTTGCAGTTAACCCCTTGTCTACACATGTGCCAGCCCTGTGTTTTAGCGCCTGAGTCTGCTGCTGGGACGATCTTCAGTGCATCCAGTGTGCTGACAATGACTCTGTGTTTCGAGCGCCACTCAAGGCTTGGTTGTGCGAGCATCTGCCCAAGATACCATCTGAGACGTTGTCAGGGCTGGCTGAAGGTAAAGTGTTTTTGGTTTTGTCTGAGGTGTGGAATTTTATTTCTCTCTTCGTTTCTATATAAATTCGAGGTAAGAGACGGTAATCTTACCATGTAATATTATAGATGACTTACAGAATGTCTTGGTGGACATCTGTAAAGTGAGAGTTTATTACCAGCAAGAATGAATTCAAGATGACATTTATAGGGATGACAGGTTCACTTAAAACTTCTTTCGGCAGTAAGCATTTTCCATAGAGAAATGCTTTCTTCTTGAAAATAGTGGTGAACTTGCAATGAAGATAAACTTGAAAATCATTCACAAAAAAAACTTGTGCCTTTCCGTCTAGGCTTTATTTTTGGGGCCCTCGTGTTGACTATTTTCACTATTTCCATTGGGTTTTCTAACGTCAACAATGCAGAAAAGACCTGTGCACACAGGACACAGTGTGGTCTGACTCTCATCATGTTTTTCTTTTCTTTAATTGCAGAAAAGAGTACACTTGGAAGAAGAAGGTATGTGTTTTGGGGTTTTGTTTTTATTCATTTTAATGTGCTTGAAATTCTGGGATGCATGTGTAGAACGTGTAGGTTTGTTACATAGGTATAAATATGTCATCGTGGTTTGCTGCACCTATCAAGCCCTCATCTAGGTTTTTAGCCCCGTGTGCAGTAGGTCTTTATACTAATGCTCTCCCTCATCTTGCCCCCCACACCCCAGGGATTAGTTTTTTGCTAAGGAAATATCTTAGTTTTTCAGAAAGGTGGCACTTTTTACCCTGCATTTGCTGGATAATTTCTCTGGAGCTTCCTAACAGAAATGAGGTTTTAGGCAGTTTGGTATAAACAAGCAGTCTGAGACCAGACTGATCAACATGGAGGAAACCCGTCTCTCCTAAAATTGCAAAATTATCCAGGAATGGGTGTGCATTCCTGTAATCCCAGCTGTTCAAGAGACTGAGGCAGCAGAATCACTTGAACCCAGGAGGCGGAGGTTGTGGTAGGCCGAGATCGCGCCATTGCACTCCAGCCTGGGCAACAAGAGTGAAACTCCATCGCAAAAAAGAGAAAAACAAAAAAGTTCTAGGAGGAACAAAAGCACAGCAGCAGTACATGTGGCTCCTGGGGAGGAAATGACCTCAAGGGGATAAAGAAGGGAGGACAAGTTAGGTCAGATTAAGAAGGAGGAGCCCTGAGATGCTACAGGGAAACACTATGTGGTGTGCCCTGTTTGAGATGGGTTATTTCATGTCGAAGAGGTTGCCTTAGCTAGACGACTAAGACTCTGTCTTCTGTGGCCTTCCCGATGCATTCCTTCACCATTTGTCTTCCCTCACCACCTGGAAGAGGGACCAGCAGCAGCTGAGTCTGTGCTGTGAACACACCTTTCCACACACGCCAGCCCCGTGTCCACAGCTCCAAGACCACCTGAGGGATTCACTCAGTGGAGCTCATGTGCTTATAGTGACTCTGTTTCGTAGGTGAACTGGAAGACCTGGAGGAGGATGTGCCCAAGCAGACATCCTCGGAGGAAGCCACAGGCGTTCGCATAGTAAAGTCATGTTGTTTACTCTGAAATGGAAATTGAATTTCTCTCGGTTTCTCTCTGTTTCCATTGAACTAAGAGGTACACATCTTACCATCTACGCGATAGGTGACTGACAAGAATTTCTTGGTGGGCAAATGTCAGAGTTCATTATCCACTAAAAAATGGTTTCAGATGGCATCCACATTTACAAGCTGTGTGTCAGCAGACATTTTCCTCAAGAGAAATGCCTTCTTCTTAAGAAGTATTTGGAATCGTCAAATAAAAACAATTGAAAATCTTGCACAAAAATCTGTGCCTTTCCACGAATATCTTCTAGATATCAGGGCCATTGTCTCAACCACTATTTTCCATCTGTTTTTTTAATATCAACAAGTGAAGAAAAGACCTGTGCACACAGGACACAGCCTGGTCTGACCCTCAGAGTGTTTTGTTTTTCTCTAGATGCAGGTGGACCCAGACACACTGGCGAACGGTACGTATCTGGGATCATCTCTCTGTTTACGTT